ATATTTTCTTAAAGGATATTTTATGTTTGCCATTTTATTGGCATAATTGGGCATATAGCAAACTTAACCTAGGGGTAAAAGTTTTCTTTCTATGCTGTTTTCCTCCTAATTCCCCTCCTAGGGCAACTAGTTTTATCAATTACCATGTGTTCTTTAATAGACATTTTAGATCCATAAACACCCACACAGACACAGACACATATATATCCCCTTTTAAGGCAAATTTCAGTATACTGTCCTGCACTTTATTTTTAATCTGATATTTTATCTTGGAATTGTTCCATATCAAGATATAGAGCATGTTCTCATTATTTTTTACAGCTGTATAGCATATCACTGTATGGATATACGTAAAGTATTTAATAAAAGACCGTATTTTATTCCTCATCTTAAATCAGCTGAACACAGCACAGTTATTGCCTCAGAAGACTTTTCAGTAAGTATTTGCTGATCCACACAGAAGGAGCGACTGGCTAGTGCACAACGATCTAACGGCGTGGTTCTTTGTCAGTGTGAGTTGGTGAACAGATAAACATGACTTGTTCTTAAGTACTGTGCTTAAGAGTAAAGGATGACTGATTTAACTATTTTCAACATGGAGTAATATATTAGTCTCTAAAGAGTATTTACTCCCATAGCATAGGTAACTGCAAAACTGGGTAAAGCACCTACATTTTTTGCCATAACTCAGAGGCTCCACAACAGGGAACCCACCAAATGACTATAGCCTGCAGGCATGTTTTGTTTTGATCAATTAAAATGTCTTTGAAGTAGCTGACACCATTAGCTAATTTAGAAATTTAACATTAAAAAAAATATCTATAGCTATAGCTTTTGTTGAAAAGTCTGACAATCTAGCAGGAGTTGGCCTGCCTTTCTTCATAGCAACAGCTTCTGGGACTGAGTAGCAGCGCCATCTTTAGACAAGAACATGAGTGCCAGGGTTCTCCCAGATCTGCCTTGGCCAGTTTAGCTCATTGCTTGCCTTGACCCAGTAGATATTTAAGTTTGCCGTAGCTGGGCTGACGTATAAAAATCCATACTTAACCTTATGAGATGGAGCAGGGAGTCCCTTTTTGTGGATCTGCATGCCCCCCACTTTCCCAGGCATAGAAATAAAATAAAATCTTGAGTTTCTTCAAGGGAAGCTAGCCATGAAAGGTACATAAATAACTTGTTATGCGAGAAAGTAATACCTGAAACAATAGCCAAGGAGTAGGGTCCAGAGATGTTTGGTTTTCCTATTGAAACTAAAGATAATATCTTGACATATGTCTCTGAGTTATCTTTCAGAAACTGGATTTCCCCACCGAGGACCCCCACCAAATATAACCAGATCCGCTGGCACACAGACCTCAGATAAGGAGGAACTGAAGACTGAACTCTGACCATTGTTCTTTGTTCTAAATTTCTTCCGGTGGGGCTTGGAGGGAATCACACCCCAGCGCCAGTCAACATTTTTTTTTTCTTCTACTGAATCCACATTTTTAAGCAAAGCTTCTCTTCCTTAACCAATTGCAAATCAAAAAACCTTTGAATCCACCGATAACCTGTAAGTCCTTGCTTCAAGATATCCAGTCCTTAGGCCAAAACCAATGTGTAACAGCTGTGTGTTGATTTACAATTTTCTCTCCTGAATTTGACCTCAGCCTTTAAAAACCTTTGCCTGCAGGCCATCAGAGAGGTCAGGATTTAAACAACAGCTGCCAGCTCCTGCTTGGTTGGCACCCTGTAACTTAATGCCTTCCTTTCTGTCACTGCAAAAGCCTCAGTGTGGATATCTGGTATCACTGTGCTGGACAAGTAGACCCCAGTTCGGTTCTATAACAGAGTTAACCATCAAGATCTAATCCCGTATAGGAATAGTGCTCCAATAACTGTAATGATTATTAGGCAAAGTAATTTAGGAATACTGGAGGATTTGTAGTACCAAACCAACATGATATATGAAAGAAAATATTGTACTTCTAGTTTCTGGTCCAGTATGTAAAGAGCTTGGAAGCTTTCACTCTTTCCTAAAAACAAGTAAAACGCTGAACAAAGTTAAAACCAACAACCTTCTTAGATCTATCAGAGAATTGAGGTCACAGACCAAACTGCTGCTCCCAAAATGGAGAGACAGACAGATACAGTGAATCACAACTTATGAAAGCAGTAACCCCAAATCAGAACCCTTCACAGGAACCAGTACCAGGGTAGAAAAATCTAAATTGTAATTGACAAATTGCTGCAGGCTCAGTGTAGACAAGTGTGAGAGTTTGAAAGTCCCAGATACAGAAATGGGAGGAAAGGGGGCAATCTTAGTGAGGAAGGCCCACTTTTGTGAGTTTTATCTCTAGAAGCTCTGCTAGTTCTCAAAGAGAAGACTGGAGAAAAAGCCCTTTGTTCTTTCTGCAGAAGGGCAAATGTAATCATTTTGAAATAAGTCACAGCATTTCATTCTTAATAAGACCTGTTCGCAAGAGAAATTATTTACCAGAGCTTAACCTATTGGGGTTTTATCATAGCCTAACTCACCTGGGAGAAGGGAAATATATCAATCCAACCCCCTATAGATATTCAACCCCACCTAGGGGTGAGAAAAGAACCCAAATCAACACACACAAACAAAAAACCTGAGAAGCATTCACAAAGTTCACAGCCCAGGGGTACAGGCTCACTAAAAGACTAACACCTAGTCAGAGGACTCTAGGCTGCTTCGCCATACCTCATACCTTAGTAACTTCATCACTAAAGACCTATTTCCTGCAGTTCCTTTTACCAGTACATGATGTCCAGCTTCCAACAAATAATTATGAAACATATTCAAAGACAAAAAACACAGTTTGAAGAGACAGAACAAGTGCTGGAACCAGATTCAGGTATGAAAGAAATGTTGATGTTACCATTCTATGAATTTAAAATAAGTGTAACTAATAATGCTAAGGGCATTTATGAAGAAAGATATTGCTCAGTAACCTGGAAATTATTAATTATAAAACTGAATAGGCAACCCACATCCCATTATCTTATGCACTGTGCATTTTTATTGATTTTGGATATCAAAATATCTCACTCACCATGGAGGGAAAGGAAGGTGTGAGAATAGGGAAGGCGAAGAGCTATTTAAGGCTGAACAAAGACATACATTATCCCAGAATGTGAGGGTCCTGAGGCAGGGCAGGCCTCATGAGGGCTCCTGACAAAATTATTCTATTACGTGCAAGGCAGATCTAGATGTGACATCTGCTATCTGAGGTCCATGATGGGAGGAAACTCAGGCTTTCAGCCACAGGAATTGTAACGTACACCTTATCCCATTCCTCTGGTAGCTCACTTCCCTTTCCTTCACTTAAGCCTCATAGGTCTATATGAAGATTTACCACCTGGACTCTGTGCTCTTTGAAATATCACAGAATACAGGGATTCTACATGCCAAGGGTAGGCTCTATATATTTATTTCCACATAGCTTAAATGCTGAGATTTGAGTTTTCCAGATGACAATCCCCCAAATTCAATACCTTGTGATCCTTGTCCCCTGCCAGTCAGCTCTCCAAAGAAAGGGCACCATACATTGCACATCTGCCATGTCCATGTTCTTATAGCTTCACTCTTCCAGGGAAGAGGGTGAGAAAAGAGCCCATCCTGGTACTCACTGCTAATTTTACTCCAGAAATGGAACACAGGTGAGTAAAAACTCGCCACATTTTAAAAGACAGATCAAAATATCTCAGGTGCTTTCAGTTCTGGCATCTTTTACTAGTAAAGAGCTCAATATTAATTAGGCTGTGAGGACTAGGACTATCAAAAGGAACACCATCCAACCCTACACAATAAATCAGCTTAGTTCTGGAAGGGAGACAGTTCATAGAGGGGCTTTTTTTTTTTTTTTTTTGAGACGGAGTCTCGCTCCATTGCCCAGGCTGGAGTGCAATGGCACGATCTCTGCTCACTGCAACCTCTGCCTCCCGGGTTCAAGTGTTTCTTCTGCCTCAGCCTCCTGAGTAGCTGGGATTATAGGCACCTGTCATCATGCCTGGCTAATTTTTGTATTTTTGTAGAGATGGGGTTTCATCAGGTTGGCTGGACTGGTCTTGAACTCCTGACCTTGGGTGATCTGCCCAACTCAGCCTCCCGAAGTGCTGGGATTACAGGTGTGAGTCACCGCACCAACCAAACCACCATGCCTGGCCAAGGGGCTTTTACCTCCAAGTCTCTGGTTTGATTCCAGATATAACTAGACGGACCAAATGTCACTCTAATTAGACGGCAATAAAGTTCCATAGCAAAATTAATTCCACAGTTTGAACTCACTTCAAGGGGACATTTGTCTTCATTTATGGGACATGTGTATTTGGGGCTTGGCAGGCATTTCTGCTTTAAAGAAGCTCATGCTATAATGAGTGAAGATGGAAACCTTTGCCCAGTGCTGAATGCCTGGAGTGTGCTCTGAAAAAGGAGACTCGGCCTCCAGGTGCCAGTAGGCCAGACCTGGCCACTCTTTCAGACTTCTTTCCTGTAATTGTTTGAAGAGAAGACAGCAAAGAAAAACAGCCCTGACAGATTGTAGAGGTGATAAAGTTCCTGAAAATTAGGCCAGCTAATTTGGTAAAAGTCTATTATTGCTGAAAATCTCCCAAAGTTTCACACTTTCCCGCTTTCTATCTCTTATCTTCTGTTTTTAATTGAAATACACAATTCTGTAGAGGTTATATCTAATTGAGTCAATAGCAGATCAAAAGCTTAGGCATGACGCTTATTTTGGTCATGCATAATACATTTTTTTTTTTTTTCCATTCCTGAAGTCTCCCTCAGGGTTCATCCCCTCCTTAGGGTGATGGCTTTCATGGGATGTGGTATCTTGGTCTTCTAGAGAATTTTAGGGTAACTAAATCATTCACGTCCAACAGCTGCAGGAAGATGGACTCTGGAGCTTCCTTCCCCCTCTCCCCTCTTCTTCTTCTATTCTTCCACTTTCAGGATTAGAATTTAGGTGAATGTATTTCCTATCCTTTTTCAGACATGCAGCATGTTGGGACGACCAAGTAGAAGCCAGACATGGAGAGAGAAGAGAGAATGAAAGGTATCTGAGATGGTGACATGTCCCGGCAGGCTGTGATTCAGCTAACTTGAAGTGAATGAAAGACAACAAGAAGCAGAGAGCCAAGTTGTTACCATATGACCCTCCGATAGGGCATTTTTCTCTGTCTCTGAAATAGAAATAATATCTGGTGTGTTGGTATCAGAGAATTCTAGTAAGAAAGAAATGCATTATAATTTGTGTATGTGCTGGGGAACAGACCAACAGACCAACCATGCCCTACAGTTGAAACAATGTAAGTATAGAAAACTGAAATGTACAAATATATTCAGGAGGTGAAGGGAAGAATATAAAAACTGAGGTTGTTTTCACCTGGATAGAGATATAGATAGAGAGATAGCTATAGATGATATAGATTAGATTTAGTTGTAGATAGATTGATATAGACATATTCCACCTCACCAAAGTGTTGGAGATGCCAGGTGGCATGGCCAAACCTGACAAGTGCACAGGCTCTAAAGCCAGACTTCAGAATTCAAACCCTTCCTCTGCCGTGAGGCATTGAACAAGTTGTTGTTTCTTAGATCATTATCTGTGAAACTATGATTATACTGGTCGGATTCAATAAATAATTTCAGGTAAAGCGTTTGGAACAGTGCCTGGGCCTACTAAGCACTCAATTGATATTAGATATTCTCTTTTCCTCAAGTAAGTCTCATGTATTCCTGCCCCAATATTTTTTTTTATTATACTCCCTTCCGTTTGAAAACCTCCTCTGCCCTGTGTATTTGAAAGAGATGCTTTATTCATTTCCATTAGGTTTAGCAGGTTTCCCCCGACCTGTCAAACTTATAGTGGTGTCTCTCCTCTATGAACGCTTAAGGATATTCATTGATGATTCCCTAGAGGGACCGTAATTATATAATACTTTGGGGAATGATTTTATTGTTGTTTATTATTTTCTAGGAAGTAGCATCAACAACAGAACTAACTTAAACCTAAGAATCAACTGACAAGACATTAAGCTGATCATTCATCACCCTCAGGAACCTTGTTTAAGCTTTCGGAGCTTCATTGCATTAACTTGTAAGTAAAGATAATAATGATAACATGTCCTACTTTACAATTTTGAGGCTTTATGGAAGGAAAATCTGTGAAAGTTCCTGATAACCAGGAAAATTGATTTACTACTCTTATATGTGTTCTGGTCTATCCAAATTAAATATAATGTCTTTAAGCAAAGAAGTGTTCTAGAGCGTATGACAGAATATTTTGTAGCTTGGAGATTCTCAATTAATATCTACTGATTATTTGTTAAGTTGAATTAATATGCTAGAGAGGAGAGATGCAAATTGAATATGGCTTCATGGCATGCATGAGAACAATTAGAAGAGACAGAGTAGTCAAGGCATATGAAAGGTGTCCCAAAATCTCAAGGAAAAGCCTTGATTGAGCCTTGATTAAAAGTAAAAATATGTCCGGGCTCAGTGGCTCATGCCTATAATCCCAGCACTTTGGGAGGTCGTGGTGGGTGGATCACCTGAGGTCATGTGCTCAAGACCAGCCTGACTAACATGGTGAAATCCCGTCTCTACTAAAAATATAAAATTAGCCAGGTGTGGTGGCACACGCCTGTAATCCTAGCTATTTGGGTGGCTGAGGCAGGAGAATCCCTTGAACCCAGTAGGCAGTGGTTGCAGTGAGTCGAGATTGTCCCATTGCACTCCATCATGGGCACAGTACAAGACTATCTCAAAAAAGAAAAAAAAAAAGAAAAGTAAAAATGTGTGCATATCTATGGTGTGTCTGCGTGTGAAGAAAGAGAGGGAAAGAGAAAAACAGAGACAAAGCCTTAAAAAGTAGGAGAGAAACAATTTTCAAAGGTATAAAAAAAAATCTTTTAATATTAGCCATGAGAAATGGATATTAAGAGTAGGTGTTCTTGCCAGCCATGCCATGCACAATTCGAAGAGGAGAGGGTATGTACATACATGGCCTGCCACAGGCTTTTCATTGCTGATGGCACCAAATACTTTTGTGAAATTTACATTTCAACATGGATGGAGGTTTTCTTTTTTTTTTTTCATTTTTTTCCTCCTCTGTGTCTTCCTTTTCACTTAATTAACTAAACACTAAACTGAACCTTCCCAGAATTATGGAGGAAGTAGTTTAGTTGGAGCTTCAATTCTGGTTCTGAACCATTTTTTCTTACTTCAAAATTGTTATTTTCTATTCACCAGGAATAAATTTGATCCATCTGAAGCTCACACTTTAAAATAGTTGGGGCTCAGGCATAACATGACACCAAATGCATATAATGATTCATACGTAAGGATGGTAGGTAAAGAATGTACTTTGGCCTGACTACATGGTATGTTTTCCCATATGACTAAATAATATAATTTTCCAAGAAGTACATAAACAAATTGGAAAAATCATTTTGGCAGGGTATTAGTATAAGCAGGTATTCCACGGATTTGTTTCCTAAGGATAAGGATCATAAATTTAATCATCACAGATCTAGAAGTTTAGAAGTTAGATGTTTGGAAAGCTAGAGAAAGCCTTATACCTGGACCAGGAAATTCTTTAGAGCATTTGTTCTCAATGCTAACAGCTACAAATGCCTCCAGTACAACACTAGTATTGCTAGGGTAGTATCCTGAAATGAAATGAATGAATAACATAACTTATAAACATACGGATTTTTTTTTTTTTGAGACGGGGTCTTGCTCTGTGGGTCAGGCTGGAGTGGCATGATCTCGGCTCACTGCAACCTCCGCCTCCCAGATTCAAGCAATTCCCTTGCCTCAGTCACCCAAGTAGCTGGGATTATAGGCACGTGCCACCATGTCTGGCTAATTTTTTGTATTTTGAGTAGAGACAGGATTTCACCACATTGGTCAGCATTCTCTTGAACTCCTGACCTTGTGATCTGCCTGCCTCAGCCTCCCAAAGTGCTAGGATTACAGGCATGAGCCACCAAGCCCAGCCAAACATACAGATTTTTAAAAGAAATGTAACAACTTTAATATTTAGAAAAAATAAAAAATTATATATCATAAGACAACATGTATTTCAATATCTAAATGCAAAGGCAGTGCTATACCAGGAAACATGATGAAGTAGTTGGATGCGCTCACCTAAACGTGAAATATTTGTGAACGAATGAAGTACAAATCAGAATAATATAGCAGGTAAGATTGATAGTTAAAATACCAGGAGTGGTACTGTCACCAGTGACATTATTTACTGAAATAACAAAACATTTTGATAAAGCTCTGAAAAAAAAAAAAGGTCTTCCTTTGATATCCATGACAGTTGCATTTACAGGAAAGCCAGCATATATTACAACGAACTCTATGTACAAAACAGATGTAGAGTCTAGGCCTACATACGTGAAAGACTGGTAAGCCATTGAGAAGTTGGGTGGGGCTTGGGATAATTTTTTCGAGTGAGATTTTCATTCATGGCAATAGATTGGTTTCTTTGTTTCCACCCCATTACATTTCAGTAGCATCCTCCAAACACAAATGCAACCCCTAACTCCAATAAGCCAAATTTCTAAAATGCTCTCAGAGCTGCCCTATACTGCTGCTATTGAAAATTATTGCTCTGGGGGAAAGGACCAATCTAATAGGAATATAATTTACCATAACTTATATGTGGGTAGGGCCCTTGCTGTGACCTCTGTGGTCAGTAAGAAACAGCAGGGCTTCAGGGCCTTGGAGAAACTAGAAGCAGGATAGGCAGATTCAACATGGCATGAAGGACATTTGCAAGACCCCTAGCCCTATCTCTCACCGTGCTCAGTTCTCACACTCTTCCACAAAAGAGTTTATAAAAGCCTACATTCTCCCAAGGGGGATCTCAAACTAACCCTTGGTAAATTCGAGCTGATCAACTGATCTAAATAAGTCAGGCCAAAAAGGAAGCAATTAGGTCTGATATTTTTTTTTAAGAACAGAATTATATTTTTGGTTATTGCCCCAGCTCTGTGCTTCATGTTGCCTGCACTTAACACTAATCATAAAATTTCCTACTAAGATCAATCCAAGGTAAACAGAAAAATCAAGTGTTTCCTCAGGACTCCTTTTCAATCTTTTTTCCAACTTAAATGGTCATCCAGCCTATTCTTTTAGAATAGGATATGTTTTTTTCCAATTTTCCCAGCACATCGTAGTTTTAATACCTTCAAGAACAGAAAACTTACCACTTAATTCAAACTAGTACAGCATATATATGAAAAAATAATTTACCCCTCTACTTGTTCCATTTATTGGAATTAACTTTAGTCTCCTGCCTCAGGGTTTTAGGCAGTAAAATTTTGCCACAAAATTTTGATTCTATCCAAAAGGTCATAATATTGTATATTGTTTCTTTTACTCTAGTCATATCCTTCAAGTTTCCATTTTTGCACTATTTATGTAGGAATGAAGATCAAGGAATCATATTCTCCTCTTTATTTACTAATATTGTATGTCAGCAGAACAAGCAAAAAATATATGTACAGTCAAAAAAACAACAACAGCCTCTTCTCATTTTCTTTGTTTTTAATTCTCTGGCAAACATAGACATTAGGTAGCTTAGGTGTTGGTTTAATAATGGTGAGGATATTCATGGAGCCAACTTTATGTATTTGGTGCCTATCTCAGTTGTAATCATATCTTTTTGTCCCCCAAAAATCTTTTTCAATGACATGGAGAACCCAGTACAGTAGGGAACCTTCATAAAGGTCATTTTGTTATTTGCTTTTAGCAGAAGTTTCCAGAAAATCCGTTGCAAGGATGCCTTTTGCATGCCCCATATTTTTCTGAGCCTCCACAGAGTAGTAGGTGTTTGTTTATCTCTCCTGATTTATAGCATGTTTAGCATAATTCAGTTTCTAGCAAAATAAATTTGTATTTTGTTAATCATACATTTTACTACATTGAGTACTATATGCATACAATACATCTAGTACATTATTTATCATCTATTTATCTATCTATATCTATATCTGTAATTTGTTCAACCTATAGTCTCTGCTTATCCTAAATATGAATTCCTAGACCTTTTGCAATGATTTCCTAGCTTTCTTGGGTTTCCCTTTCCTTGGTTTCTCTTAAGATAACCATGTTTCAAGAAGGCCATTATGTTGTGATTTTTACAAAAACAAAGAAGGTTGAGGAGTAGCCACCAGACAAATACTTTGTAGTGTCTTTCCTCCTACACACAGAAGCTTGGTTTTTAATCCATCATTCTCTAGTCTCAAGAAAGATTACAACCACCACAACCACAAATGTTTACTGCTATTTTGGCACTGTGATAAATTATTTAAATAGACCTTTTAAATCCTCATAACAACCCTATTAAGTAAGTTTCATTATTATTACCAATAAATAAATTGAGGTATAGAAAATATAAATAACTTCCCCAAGATCACACAGCTAGTCACTGTAGGAGCCAAGACTTAAATTTGAATTAATGTCGGATTCTTTCTTGTACTTAACCTCTTTCTTCTGCTTATGAGATTCCCTAGGAAAAACAAAGATTCTAATTAATGTTAAAAATTCCACTGTGGCATCTCTGCAGAGTTTGTCACTGCTCTTTCTTGATCCAGCCAAAAATAAGATGCTGGAAAAAATAGAATTTGGGTGACCTTCTTAGTCAGCAGAAGAAAATAGATGTGTAAAAGCTGTCAGGAACAATACAGTTTTATTAACTAATCGCTGCTGCTTCCACAGTTGCCTACCATTCTGCCAGGTCCTGAGAGAGAACTTCCACCAGACTCTGACCAAAAGGGAACGAAAGTCTGTCTACTAAAGCTATGTTGAAAGCCTCATGATGTTGCTGGTATAATAGGACCAGCCTTATGGAACTCTGCCACATGACAGATGAAATCTCTAAGTTAGAAGTCTGTGCTTATAAGCAATTCTACCTGGGAGAGAACTGAAATCCTGGACAGGACCTAATTTTACACCCATAATTTTGCAACCAAGAAAGTTATTTTCTAATAGTAACAATTGTGATGATAAAAAGGATAGCTTGTTGATTCCATGGTGTGACTCTTAAAGTTTCTGTGTTCGTTGCTCCCATGTCAATCGTAATCCTTTGCTAATGTCTAAACTTTCACACTTTAAAATAAGACTAGACATACTGTTTCTATCCCCCATGACAAAGAATAAATGATTAGCATCAGGTCAGGTGTTCAGGCGAGCAGACTACGTGGTATGGAAGGAAGACAGAGAATTACTCTGTGGAGAGGTGAGACTGCATAGCTGAATTATTCCCATCAACTGCTTTTCACAAATTATCCTACCACATCCATTGCTCTCTGTAACCTCATGTTTACTCATTATATGATCTGAATTCATGAACAAGCCTTTAGTTATATACTTTTTGATTTCTAGATTTATATATTTTTTTCTGATGAATTAGATTTAAAGTGAGGCAAGGACAATGGCAAGGACAATGCCCTTTATCTTTCTATATTCTCTACACATTAAAGAGCACAACTTTTTTTTTTTATTTATTTATTTTTTTTTTTGAGATGGAGTTTCACTCTTGTTGCCAAGACTGGAGTGCAATGATATGATCTCAGCTCACCACAGACTACACTTCCGTGGTTCAAGCAACTCACCTGCCCCAGTCTCTTGAGTAGCTGGGATTACAGGCATGCGCCACCACACCCAGCTAATTTTGTATTTTTAGTAGAGATGGAGTTTCTCCATGTCGGCCAGGTTGGTCTTGAACTCCTGACCTTAGGTGATCCGCCCCCTTCGGCCTCCCAAAGTTCTGGGATTACAAACGTGAGCCAACTCACAGGTGGACACAACTTTTTTAAAGAAAGTAAATAAATGCTTGCTGAATAATTTTCTGATGGAATCAATGCACTAAAACAAAAATATGTGAAAACCAGAAGTGGATTTAGACACTAACCACAAACCTCACCCAAAACACACACGCTCACACATGCACATTTCAAAATTCAGAAAATATAAACGACTTGCCCAAGGTTACACCAGTAGTCAGTAGCCATCAGGACAAGAACTCAGGTGTTCTAACTCCCCAATCCACTGTCCTCTATTACATCATAAGCTGTCTCACAGAGCCTAACAAATGAAGCCTTATAAATGTTACATATTTTCTACTGTCTTCATTTCTCTTTTACATTTGGCACACAATTTTTGTTGATTGGACCATCTAAACTTATACTTTTCATTGTTCAAGAGACTTGTCTCTAGAACTATCAACAAAAATGACAGGGATATCTATCCATATGCTCATTCATCCATCCCATACCCCAGTGCAGTTATTTACATAGCACAGTGACACTAAGCAAACACAGGAGGAGAAACAGAAAAAGAGGAGAGGACAAAAAAGACATTGAGGATTTTTATGAGCCATTTTCCTAACAGTATGCAGTATTCAATAAGCATTATGTATACAGTAGGTGTATCTATCACGGTTTCTATGATGATTCAGTGATAGTGTATTAGCCATTATCAGTAGAGCCATTACAAAAGACACTAACTACTCCAACTTCTGCTGAGAGCCACACATTGGTACATTACTATCTAGTTGCATATGATGTGGAAATCTGCAACAGCTTACTAGGCATTATTATACTTACAGAAAACAGTAGAAGCTTCTTGATAAGCAGACAAATACTTTCCCAGAACTAGTGCCTCTAATGCAAGCTCTTTAACTGATGTCTTGTCCCAAATTTTTAATAACAACAAACCTTCGTGTGGTTCTGCTTTTGGCAGATTAACACCATTCCACATGGTGTTAAACACACTAGCATGTAAGATATAAGCGCACACAAACATACACAGACATATAAACACATTCAAAATTTAGAAAGAGAATTTGACTACTAGCTAGTATTGAACTCAAACACAGCCCTCTGAAGGTCAGATCTTTTCTCTCTCATATCCTCTCAGAACACCAAATAAGTGACCGAGCACATAGTCAGCGCTCAGAAAATTGACTGAAGTATTGATTGATTTTTTTAAACTGTTACCAACTCTGCAGATTCTACTTTATATATAGCCAGGGAGAAATTCCATGGTCATCGAATGATGATAATTTCTTTAAGGAGGTGAGTTAGATCCTTAAAGAAAGGAAGGCAATTTGGCATTTACAGGATTTTAGATTGCTATTCTTTTTTTTCCCCCAACATTCTAATGTTTCCCAACATTTTTTTCCTACCATTCTAAGTGGTAGAATTGAAGGGAATGGCGCTTCCATTTCTTTAGTGATAATCGTATTTCTGTTCCATAACTGAGAGGAAGTAAGCCAGCTTTCCCTGATACTCCTTCTCCTAATATCTGCTACAATGCATTCCTCCCCAGAAATATATGCATGCTGAAGTCCAAGCTGGACTTTGACCAGAGTGAACTAGAGCAAAGACTTTCTGAATCTTCCAACCCTGGACTCATGGGTGAGGAGTAAAAAACTGTTACCTGCTTCTCCCTTCAATGTAGCTAACAAATCTTTTTTCACTTTCTCAAAAACAGATTCTTTTTCCCGATTTTCTCCTTGCTGAAAGGAGGGAGGAGAGAGAGAAAACAAATGCCATATGTAGCTAATCTGAAGCGGAAATTTCTACGGTTTAGAGCATGTGGGTTATTTTAAACAGCTATACAACAGAAATAGAGAGAGGAGGAAGCAATTTATACAATTTTTCAGTGAGTCATAAATTAGATTTCCTTTAATATCCTTCAACATGTAACTAAATAATAAAATACTCTTTTAATTTATTCTGTTAGCTAAACTGCTTCTTGAGTACTATATTGCAAAAAGACTTTGTCACGTGATTCCTAAGTTCACAGTATTTATACACAAAGACTTAGAGGTGGATCTTCATAAGCCATCCACTCTTACCTCTCACACAGGACTGGAATCTCAACTTTGTGATTACTTGAAGATATTTATTGGGCCTCCAGTTGAATGCTACCAATGCTAATATTTTATATTTAACTGACAAATTGTTTTGCTACAACTCCATTTATTAGTTGTAATGGTGTTCTCAGAACATACACAGAACAATCCCACTCCTTCTTTACTGTCTCTCACTAACCAACATCCCTTGGTATGTTCTCCTTCACTCTGAATATCACTGCTTCTTTCAGTAGCTCTTTTGACATATTTCTAAGACTTTAAAAAATGACTTTTTATTTCATTTGAACATATTTTTTGTTGTCAATATCACACCTAAACTGTGACCCATTGCTAAGTACGAAACTACAAGTATAGTCTGGTAAGTATGAGTGCAAGGACTCAACAGAATTAATATTTTAGATTTTTTTCTTGGCATTGTATTGCATTTCTTCCCTCAGAGACTGTTAGCTCGTTCAAATAACCTTTTGTGTCCTAAAATAAAGCATGTATACATAATCTAATCTGCATCCTTTCAGAAATAGTATGCACAGTCAATATGATAATGAACACTGGAGCCAGATCTAAATGCATTTAGATTCTGGCTTGACCATTTACAGCTCAGAGACTTTGAGAGAGTTAATTAATCTGTTGGCATCAATTTTTTTTATTTGTATTTTTTTAACCAACTGAATGCTCCCTTATATATTCTTCTTAATTAAATGCTATCTTTCCAGTTTGGGCACTTTATTGCCAATAATCATAGTGTTCTCAAATTTTAGTTAATCCATTCAAAGTTTAATAATTGAAATGGTTTGAGTATTTATTTTCTAACAGCTTTTTATCATTTGCCTGTTAGATAAATATATAATCTGCACCCCAGATGCTCAAAATGTGGCTTATGGATCAGCAATGTCAGTATCAGCAGGAAACTTGTAAGAAATGCACACTCTTGGGTCCTCGGCCCAGAACTTCTGAGTAGATACTCAGAAATGAGTATCTACAAATGAGTAGATACTCAGAGGTATGTATAAGTGCATACTCTATTTAACAAATATGAATATGTACGCTATTTAACAAAGTCTCATATGCATATTAAAGTTTGAGACACCCTTTTTCATCCACAGAGTTGAGAAAAATATTAACCAATATAGCACATCAGAGAATTGCTTCAAAGTTAGTAATGACCAGTTAATAAAGTCTTTGTATATGACAGCTCAAGAAGTAGGAGAACTTCTAATGCTACTGTAATTTAAGCCATGTTGTATCACTTCCCCAGAGTAGAATGTAAGTTTTTTTTTAAACCATGTCCCACTTTATGCCTTCCCAGTTATATTCCAGCTCTTAATATGTGTGAATGTGAACCAAGGCCAAGCAGGCTGAATGCAGTTTGTGTTCAAAAGGTAGATGCCTGGATTTCAATCTTGTCTTGACCACTTACTTACTCTCAGTGTGACTTGAGCCATTTACTTATCCTTCTGTCTCAGTTTCTTCACTTGTAAAATGAGAATGATGATGTTATCTGTCTCCTAGCTGTGCTAAAAGATTAAACAAGATAATCCATGCAAATAACTTAGCACAATGCTTCATATGTAGCAATGTTCCCTTCCTTGTCTGAATTCTTACTATGTCTATTAGAATTTGCTTTGGTTCATAATAAACTCTGTCATATGTTGTTTCCATATTTGTATTTTAAGAACCTTGATGAAAAGTTGCTGTCTTATACTGGTGTTTTTAAAGCCACAAATGGATTATCTGTCTAAAGTCTGTTAGTTGAGACAGTATGGCATTTGGAATGCATTTTTTTCAGTAGGGTCTTAACCTAATCCTCAAATGTATGTCCAAGTAATGATCAAGCTTATACTAGTTATACCATGGTTAGTACTACGTCTAGCAGTACTACTATAGTAGTCATACTATAGTAACTAACAACCTTTAAGATAATATGTCTATTGGAAAACACATTTACTGTTATCTTTTGGACTCCTTCTGCTTCAATAGATTTAGTGTTTTTCTCTAGGGAGTTGGGAAGTCAAAAGCTAGCTGGAGGTAAGGATAGGGCTCAGTGCCCCAGAAGTCAGGTCCAACCTGCTAGTACTGTTCCATGTGTGTATTGGTTACACCTGACATTTCCCAATCTCTCTGAGGAATAGGGTGGTAAATACCTGTGTAGATAGAGAGATGCCCCAGCCTTAGAGCTAAAAGTATTAGATTTGTGTCTCAGCTTTCATGTCTACTAAATTTTGAGCCTTATTTAATTTAAATCATCTGGGCTTTGACTTCCTTATTTATAAAATAGAAAGAAATACCAGTATTTTAACCAGCTGACTCCAAAAACAAATATTTTATTAGAGATATCTTTATAAACCCTTAATATTTAGAAAAAGCATTAAGAAGAAATTAAAGTGATGTGGATGATAAAAGTATTCCCCCGACCCTTGACTTTGGTGCCTTCTCTCCTCTTATAAAGATATTAAGCAAAATCTATGCTTTGGGTATGCTTTATGATTCTTCATGGAAATCCCTGAGAGAGGTATTAAAAGTAACTAGTGAAATTGATTTCTGTCAGCACCACAATTACTATTTATTTCCACCATTGACTCAACATAGAGACTGCCACATGATACCGGAGAATGTTAAAAGCTGCCCTTAAGTAGCTCCCCCACTGGCTTCCTATGGGGTTAAGTCTCTGTAATGGCATTATTCCTTCAGGGTTTCTAGTGGAGCTAGGGTTTTTTTTTTTTTCTTTTTTCCTTTCTGATCTGGGTCAAGCCTAATGTGTTATCCTAGGAGGGTTCATATATTAGCTAGTTAACATATTAGCAGGGGTTATTGTCTCTGATTAAATCATTACTACCCACTGTCTTGTAGGAAAGAAAAGGACCCTGGGGGATCAGGGCACATGATGGACACATGTTGATGAAAGGGAAGCAAAATCAGAAGAATGGCAGTTTGGATCCAGTTAAAATTTTGGCCCAATGGTTTTTAGGCACTAAATCACTGAAATTAGGTCTGTAGAAGAGGATTCAAGAAAAAATAAATTCCTAATGTATTACCTTTTCGAGAGCCAGGCTTTGTTTGCATCTTGGATATCATATGTAGTTCAACGTAGACTCCATATAAAAGTATTAATATTAAGGCTTTTTAGATTCCGTTGATAAAACTAGTGGTTAAACAGCTTCATCAAAGAGGTTTCTCCCATTATTGTCAACATACAAAACACACTTTGGAAAATTTGCTTCAGTTTTCACTTAATTTCATATATGTACATTAGCTTACAAATAAAAATATTTTAGAATAATTTGTAATTTAAAATAAAACATCAATTCTTTATGTTTTCTAATATTTTTGGGCCCTGGAAAATTTTCATCTCATAGACCTAAAGCTGTAAGATGATAATATTTAAATGCAAGTCACAAGCTTCAATTAGGTACAATCAGAAATCATGCGGTGACTTCATTAAGTATCATTAAGAATGATCAAAATATTGCTCTTAGGAAAAATACATCAAAAGCATTGCATTTACACATTGATTAAACAGGATCTGCAATTTCTAAAATCTGGTATGAGAAAAAAGAATGGAGTAAATTAAGTGCTCATATCCCACTTAGCAACAAGGGAGTGCTTAGCAACTGGCAAAGGAAGAAATAAAGGGAGATGGTAGGAAACAAAATATGATCAGCCTCTGAAAAGGGTGAGAAATCAAGAAATGACAATGTAACTAATTGGGGATGGAGGAGAGGTTGCAGTCCCAGAAGCAGAGGGCCACAAAGTCACCCCGCTTTTTGAAAGTTTTAAAAATTATTTTTATTTCCTTTGTAACCATAGGAAATTAGGCTCATAATTAGGAATCAAGGGCACAGGGAAGACTCTCTCCAAAACCATGACTGTGATCCGAGTCATGTGTGGTGAGAGGCATGCAGTCCTTTATAAGCTCTTTTCTCTTTTCCTCATGCACTCAGTGTGCAATCTAGCTCTCAGTTCTATAAGGTCTTACGTCCGAAGGAGGCTTAGGAGGACTTGATATTATATCCATTTGACAACTTTTAAAGAGTATTATTGTTCTAATCATGTCCCGTGTCCCCCTTGTTTTCTGTTTGATTTGCCTTCCCTGGATATCCCATTTATCCCAGGCCTTTGGCTCCTGGCTTATAATGATCGTTTCCAACTCTTCTTATCCAGTCAGAGATATCTTTTTCCTGTGCTTAAATCTGTGCCCATGAATTTCCCAGAGGCCATTCAAACCTACCCTCAGACCTCAGCCTCCCCATTCTCTTACTACTTTCTTCATCATCACCTTACGAAGGCCCTTGTTCATGCAGGCAACATATCCAGGAACCTCCCCATTTCAGTCTCCTCACTCCAATATTTAGTTGGTTTGCTGATTCTCTCTCTGAAATACATCCCAAACTCACTCTTCTTTACAATCAATCTGAGGTAAAAAATTCATGATCTCTTATCAGGAGAAACATCTAAATTCTTAGCATCACATGAAGGGACTTAATAATCTGGCCAAATTAATGTTTCTTTTTAACCTTGATTCTGCTACTTCTTCCTTGCACACAGACATGCTCTGGGCATATTAAACAGATAAATTTTTCTAGGACATGTGTTTTCTGATACCTGTTGTCCAAAACTTATGGTGTGATCTCCTTGTAGAATAATCTTTCCTTTTTATTATTATTTTTTTGAGCCAGAAAAACTCTCACAGAGTCTTAATGTTGACCTCTTTATTTCATTCTTGGTATCGGGCTTATGGTAACTTCTCCTATCAATTTTGTTTATCAAAGAAATCCCAAAGGAACAGACATTTACAATGTAATTTCATATATTACAGAACACATCACTGAAAGCAGTAGACATTCAATTAATATCTGTTTAATTGAATTAAATATATGGACAAGAACCCAATTTTCCCAGAATCAGAGCTTACAGATCAAGAGTTGAAAACTTTTCTGTAAAGAGCTAGATAGTAAATATTTCAGGCTGTACAGGCCATATGGTCTCTGTTGCAACAATTAAACTCTTTTATATAGCATGCAAGCAGTCGCAGACCAAAAAAATAAGCTTGGTTGTGTTCCAATTAAACTTTTTTTATGGACACTGAAATTTGAATTTCATATAAATTATAAGTATCATAAAATAGTATTCTTCTTTTGATTATTTTATAACCATTTTAAAATGCTGAAACAATTAGCTCAAGAACCATGCAATAAAACTCAGGCAGCTGGACTTTGCCCATATTGACTCTAGTTGTTGATCTATGCTACAGTATAGTTATAGTTTTAGTTCCTTATTTGGTCATTTCTTTATATGGACCACAATTGATTTCTTCCCTTCTACTAATTGCCTAGCATACTTGTTATTTGACATAATTCATATTAATAGCGTTGTCTTATTCTAGCAGTCATTTTAGACATACCCTTACCAGAAAGCCTTCCAGGTCACTGATTTATACCTATATCATTTGCTATTAGTTTGTTAAACTTTTGACCTCTAAAACTTGTTAAGATTGTGTATCTTATAGGCAAAGATCCTGGCCCATGTTTTTCTAAAAAAATTAAAATTTTAAGTTTAAAATTTTTGTGTGATCCACTGTTTGACAAATACTTACTTCTTGAGTATATTCCCCATCATCACAATTAATTTTTCAGTAACTATCAACTTGCTTCCTGAGAATCTAAACTTTTTTGTGTGTGAATTGTGATCTTCTCATCTGTCAAAGCAATTTGTTCTCTTATCTAAAGCTTTTTAATTTTTTTAATGGAGCATCACTTCTAATCTCGGTAATCTTCATTTGATCTTCCTAACCTTTCTTTCTGCTTTCCCTCTATATAAAATCATGAACTCCTATGACCTTCTATGGTAACTCCCTTTCTGACATCCCCAGTATTCCACCCTTACTAAGATACATATTAACAACTATAATTATATTCAAAATAAGAATGATGACAAGAGAAAGGAAGAGCAGGAAAGAAAATAAAAGAATGTGAAAGGAGAAGGAGAAAAACAAGAAGAGGGAATTGGATCTCAAAGAAAAAAAATGAACAAATAAATAGGAGGGTTATTTTATACAGTGTATATTTAAAAAGTCGATTCTCTAAAAACCCTTTCACAAACATTATCTCTTATACACTGGGAAACTGGAGATGTTATTTTTTGGATGACCTGGATAATCTAATCAGTCAAAAAAGAGAAAGAAGACTCAAATTGGATTTTTTAACCCTTTTGTCTGAATCAGACCCTGTTTAAAAGTCTGATAGGAGATATTTCAGGCTGACAGCTTTTCTTTCTCAAGTTCTATCTGTGTTCAGGCTCTGGGCATCTTGGGTCTTTTTATCTGAACAGAAAGCAAATCCTAGTGCAGCATCAGAATGTTCTCGCCCCTTGCAATGGCATTTAGATTCCTCTGCTGCTATTTCCAAAGATGCCCAAATCTATAAATATTAAGCGACATTTTGGACCCTAACCTTGAGGCGGGGGGCAGCTACCATTTAATATTGCCAGGGAAAGAGAAAAGGTGCAGGGGTAGGCAAAGGGAAGAAACAAAACAACATAAATGTCAAATCTGATTGATTAAAAACTAGGTAGGCAAATCAGCAAGGGCTGGTCCAGCGTCACTGGAGAGTGAGGTCAGAAGGGGCTGTTTCAAAATTATTTGGTATTTTCAGAAATTGATTACTGAGGGAGAGCATTAAGAAGTAGCTGTGAACATTCATTTAATGGGCCAGTGCCTCTTGTACAGGGCTGGAGTCGCCACATTCCGTTTCATCTACTCCTTGTTAAGTTGTGCTTCTTCTGGAGCATGTTTATTTATTACAGATACTCTAAGCATAAACTACAAACTAGAATAATAAACAATTCTCTAAATGGGATTTTGCTAGCACCAGCTCTCTGCCTATCTTTTCACTTCCAACCCCCAATATGACAAGCTTCATTGTTTATAGACCTGGTAATGTCTGCAGGCCTACAGAGCAAGCCCTTTCCTGTCTTAGGGTACATTTCAGTGAATAGGCAGCAACTTATCTGGAGGAAACTGAGGGACACTCAGATGTCCTCCTGCTCTCAAACTCCTCAGTTATCTGTTCCTTAGAGAGGTATCCCCCTGGCTCCTAGGGTTAAGCACACCCTTTGCAAATATATGCAGTTTGGAAGAAGTAGCCTGTGTTACAGCAGGTCACACATTTACAACTTGGTGTGAGACCATTCTGTTGGTCACTCCCGTACCCTGTCAGCTGGAAACAGGCCACAAAGTGAAAGCTTGCCATGATGAAGAAAGAAAGGGACATTTTGAAGTATCAATCATGGGTCAATGGGTTGTATCTGGGTGTGGCACCTCATGGAAATCTGTAGCATGAGACAAGGAGAAAGCAAGGTGTTTTCTGAATGTACACACATAAGCGTGCATGGTGTGCACGCATACAAACACTCCTCTCATCAAAAGCCAACCTTCATCTTTAATTTCTAATCTGATAACTGACTAAAGTCAAGTCTCCATTTATCCAGGGATCATTTCAAAACTCGACTATCACATGGTGAAAGTCTCCCCTAGAATTTCTGCTCGTTTATTCTTGCATGCTATATGTCTTTTCTCTTTGAATTCATCAGACTAAAAACACATCATCTGTATCCTTCCTTTTCTAACTCCATACAAACTGTAAGGTTTATCTTAAGCTGCCATTCCATGGACCCTGTTACCTATTTCTTTGACTAAAACTCTCTTATTCTTATTTCTCATTGACCTTGTTTTAATGCTTAGTTCTATTTTATTGCGATGATGTTCACAGATGATTTTATTTTTCTCACATAGATTACAAACCCTTTTATGGCCAGAAGTACCCTAGTTTTTTTTGTATTTCCCACATTTGGCTGCATACAACACCCAGTATCAAGTGTAACATCAAGAAATCACTTACTCTCTGATTGTTAATAGCACTCCACTGTTGAAGATGGGTGAGATACACGCAGAGGAATCATTGACATATTCCACACGTGAGATGGGGCTGACCTCTTCTCCCAAGCCTATGGCTTTGTGGATTCATATATTTATCCAAAGTGAATATTTCAGGTGTCTTTCTAACAGGGCAAGATAATTCCTTCAGGATATTTATTTCATAAAAATCAATATATGAAATGTGTTAATGCATGTATCCTGCAATGGTAAAAATGCAGTACTTTCCAGACTTGTATTTTTCAGTCATCGCACAGTGAATTTACTGATGTCTAATTAGGCATTCTAAAAACCCAAAGTCCCCTTGTGTTTACCCTGCAACAACTGTAATCCAGTGTGCCTGACACTACAGTATTTATCCCCAGAAATAATTCCTCCATGGAGAAGGCAGCAATGTGAGTACATTCCAGGACCAGAGAGTAATGACAGAGGACCTCAAGGCAATACTTCATATTCAGATACAAATGGGGTTCACAATTAATACATGAGACATCACCAATTTTAATAAAGCTGATGAAAGGTAGGCAGATTTGATATGAAAGTCAAATATACTTGGGATTCTCCCCTTCTCTAAGAGTCCCTCTTAAATTAAGACTTTGCCAGGTGATTAACAAGAACGCCAGCGCTTCAAAGGGAAGCAAAGCCTTGTTCTTTGCTGCTCCACGGGCAACCAGCTCTCTTTCCCTTTGGTCCAGATGGAGGCTTTGTTCTCCCGAAGTTGGTCAGGTGCTGTGCCTGTCCAAAAAAGGGAAGCAAGCGCAGCGTTAGGAGCCCACACCTGTTTAAAAAGCAATGTCGTTCCCTGAGCTCCAAAGCCTGAACATCAAATGTCTCCCTTTGCCAGGCAGCTTGGCTATTCCCCAGGCGTTTTCAATCTAGTTGGGTAAAACAAAAATTGCATAATTTGTCATTATTTTCAAGGAATGAGATGTGCCTTCTGCAATCCCTTTCGAGTTAAATACAATGACGCTGAGCTTCCTCTGAATGCCAATGCCTTCTTTCTCAGAAAGAATAGAAATAAAGAATGGGAAAAGAAACACCCAATTGATTGCCTGTAATTTGCTCGGGTATTTGTTACTGATGTATTCTTTGTATGCATTTTAGGAATAGGTAACAGAAAAACTCTTTTCCCAGGTCTTCAGTAAAGAGAAGTCAAACACTCTGGGAAAAGCTGGAACAGGGGGCCAGGAGGTCTGAGCCAGCTTCAAGATTTAAAATAAATAAATCACATCAACTTAGGTAAACCGCAAGTCCTATAATCATTCTTCATTTTAAAAATGTAGATTAAAATTGCCTTCCCTAAATATATTACATTTAATTGTGGAGCTAAAATGTTAAAAAAAAAAAAAAAATGGAAACGTGCTTTACAATTTTAAATATTTGCTATAAATGTAAAGTAGTTTGAATGAATGAGAAATAAGGGGTGGGATGGGATTCTTATACAGGAGTCCTATCAGTCTTTCTAAGGTGAAAGCCTTCAAATCCAGGCAGACAGTGATGTGGGAAGCAAAGAAAACTCAGGAACAACCATCGGAAAGCAAGGGCATCCTAAATCTCATCTATTAAGAGTAGAGAAAAGGACCTAAAAGCCCCCACCATATTTTCTTGTATACAGGGCCTTCTGCTGCCACTTGGTTACAACAATAGTGGAGAAAAGTAGGCCCATAAAGCAAGACTGATTGCTGGGAAGATGATCAATTGCTGCTGTGAAAGGGGAAAAACTGATAAATGTTTTTTTTTTTCTCCTTCTCTTCACAACCTTTTGCTAAAGCTGTGCAAAATGTGTCATGCATAAAAAGTATGCAATTTTCATGTAATTAGAGGAACACAGGATGAAAATGAGTTCCATCAGAGCAATCAAGGATGGTAATGTGGTATGTATTTGTCAGTGCCTATTTGTCATGAAAGCAAAACCCAACAAGTTATGTATTTTATTTCATTTTAACTCTGAAAAACATAAATGCCATTTTGCCGTGGTCAAATATATAAATTTCAATAATCCTTTCATTTTTTTGAGAAGTGAAGTTTTGGAACTGCAGATTAGATCATTTTACTCTTTTAAAGAATAGAAT